GTGTGTGTGTGTGTGTGTACGGTGTATGTATGTACTGTACCTACTACTACTACAACAACAACTACTATTACTACTACTACGACTACTCTACTGCTACTGCTATAATACTACTAATACTACTTTTACTATATTAATACTACTACTAACTACTACTACTGCTACCATTACTACCACTTGCTACAACTACTACTGCTTACCACTTCTTCGTTTAAAACGTCAGCAACGGCAATTATGCATTCACCTGTTTGACGAACATCCATGCTAACAAGCAGTCGCAAGTTCTTGTGTTGTCGTTGGTGATGTTGATGGTGATGATGACAACGATGATGGCGGAGATGATGATGATGATGGTAATAACACAAGGTGCTCATAAAAAATTGGATTAATATTTGGCAAAATAAAAGTTGTGCTTACTTTCAACGAGTGGGTCTGCATCCACTCCATCCACCTGGAAGATTTTGTTGGAACTGATGATGATGATGAAGATTGCAAGGAAGGTTGCGATAGTAGTCGTTACTTTCCTGATAATAATCTTTGTAAATTGAAATGCCTCGTTCATTTGTCTGTCGTCAGCTGCTGGACGAATCTGTGATGTGAACTTGTGATTGCCCCTGCTTCCTTCTAAGGCATGAGACAATAAATTAAATTTTTACGCGCATGGGTTGTGTACGAGTCTATGCATATATTCACGTGCATATATGCGTGCATGTGTATGCGTGTGTGCGTGTGCGTGTGTGCGTGCGTGTGTGTATGGAGGGAGGCGTGATATAAATACCGTGTCTTATTAGCTGAATTATCTGCAGTACAGTAGACAAATGTTGCCATGCCCCGTTCTGTACGCTTGCGATGATGATTTCGTTGGTGACGGTGATGATGATGATGTCGTTGGTGATGGTGGCTATGGAACAGTGAATGATGGTAATCATAATAATTTTGGATGTTTAGCATAGTTCCACTGAATAATTTCATTAATTTAATGCTCACTATGGCTCCACGTCAATCAATTAATGCCAAAAATTTGCCCTACTTCAGTGGCCTGCCGAAGTTTCCACTGGAACATTGCATGCCGGGATATGCCTGTTCATTAGTAATCTCCACCCCTTATTCCATCTTTAAGAGCTGAAATTTTTTAGCGCACGCTTCATTTTGTTCTTCGTTCGTTCGTTCGTTCGTTCGTTTGTTTGTTTTGTATGAATGGAATGCATAAGTTGAATATAACATAATATTTAGATCATAGATCGTCAAAATGTAAAGGAGTATTTCAAATTTGATTATTTTATTTACTATTTAAAACCGAAAGTATGAATTTTAAAAGTATGTACACACACGCATCCACATACACAGCAGAGACACACACACACAGACAGACACACACACACAGACAGACGAAAGTGTACAATAGAAAGCC